CAAAGACCATTGCAAGGACTTCCAATGCTGTGGAAAGTCATTAGTTTTTGTTATTATTATTTTTTTTTTTCAGAGGAGTGATGTGACCCAGATATCTCTTAAAAAGAATTACTGTGACTTCTCTGTGAAGACTAGACTATAGAGGGTTATGGATTTCATTCAGGAAAGAGAGAATGTTAGATTAGGTCATGAGTGAAGTGGTACAATTGGGGGAAGTGGTTTGATTTTCATTATACTTTGAAAGTTGAACTTCCAGGATTTGCAGATGGACTGAATGTGGAATGTGAGGGAAAGAGCATCCTTGATTTCTCTGTCATGTTTTGTGGCCTGAGCAATCTGAGAATATCACTGCTATCTACTGAGATAGGGAGCATTGTAAAGACAGCAGGTTTGGACTGGCCGTCAAGAGTTTGGACATGTTAAAAGGTGAGAGTGTTATCTAAGTGAAGATAGCAAGTTTGGNCAGAAGATTATCTCTACCATAAGTTCTCCCTCTTACTGTTTCTGTTTTTCTGCTTTTTTCAATCACTGACATCTTGTAAACCTTTCTGTTCCAACTGCCTTACTATTATCATCACCATAATTCAAGTTTTGTTACTTCTCTTCTGGGTTATTACCTCTATCTTATAGCTGCTAGTATTTTTTTGCTACCATCCATAATATACAATGTTACTAGATTATATTTCATACCTCGCAGTCTCAATTATTCTTTCATTTAATATATATTTATTCAGGCGTGTGGTATGTGGGAGGCGGTAGGCAAGAGTATAGACAAAGCCGTACTCTCATGGAACTTATACTTCAGTGGGTAGTATCAGACAAGTAACAAATATATCAAGTAGTGATAAGTGCTGTGAAGAAAAATGAAACAGGATAAAGGGGACTAGCGATAGGAGGCTGGATGTGATCTTGTATGAGATGATGAATGTTGAGCAGAGACCTGAAACAAGTAATAGAGAGAGCCATCAGGGAGAAGTGCTTGAGACAGAAGGATTAGTAAGTGCAAACGTCCTGAGTTGAGACTATGCTTGTCATATCGAGGGAATAGCAAAGACACCAGGAATGGAGCTCTAGAGTGAGCTAAGGTGGAAGTGAGAGAGGATGAGGCCAGAAATCTGTTTGTGGTGTGTGTGCTTGAGGGGATGGGGTGGTGGAGAAGGGTTGCTGATTGCAAAGGATATCAAAGACCATTGCAAGGACTTCCAATGCTGTGGAAAGTCATTAGTTTTTGTTATTATTATT